TGTATACCTCTCTCTATCTATTGCTCGCCCAATGGTGGCCATGTGATAGCCCCCCCTGCTTCCGTCTGTCTCCGCGGCATTGCACGAGCCAGCCATGGTGTCGTGACCGCACCAGCCGGCTTCTCCCCGCCCCGCCCGCTCCCCGAGCCTGCGGAGCCGCCCAAATGCAGGAGAATGTTGCTAGCATGTGAGACTCACAGTCGTCTGTCATGTTGGGGGGGGGGGCGTAGTTTGTCGCACCGCCGGTTTTGGCCCATCATGCTGCGGCGCGACACGCCATCCCTCGTTTCCCTCCCAGGCGTCGGCGTCCCGAGCGTTTCCGCTCTTCGCGCCCCGGTGGAGCGCCGCGACAAGCTATCCGCCTGCAGGGCACAGCATGTCGCCGGGGCTGCCGCGGCGACACGCTGACCGTGTCCAAACGCTGACCGGGTGTAGACCGTTCTGGTCGACAGGTTCCCCAGGCTGCCAGGTCTTGCAGTCTAGCAACAATTCACAGTTCGGCGGGGAGCACCACAAGCCGCTCGCACGCCATCTGGCCATCCGTAGCACTTCCTGCTCATACGATGAAGTATGATCTCAGCTGCTTTGTCATGAGAGATCAATTCAGCGTCTGAGCATCAGACAGTTGTTTGCGAATCCGATTTGCTTGGGAGCATCATGGGCGGTCTGCATGTGCTGTTCCTTGTGGCGCTTCCAGGTTCTGCTTCAGGTTTCCGCACCTCCCTTGAGCTGAGGCCGCAGCTGTCGGCTGCGGGGCATGCGGGGAGTCCGTGCAGAGGCGGGGGCTGGCTGTTTTCCGACGGCTGCCCCGCGGAGCAGGTAACGGACCTCGAGGGGAAGCGAATACGCGTGGCGTTGAGCTGCCTCAAGATCGGCAGCGGGAAGCCTGACGAAGTGGTCGGCTGGAACGAGGAAGGGGAATGCTTCATTCCAAGGGGGAAGCAGTGCGACGAGGACGGTCAATGTCGGAAGGGAACATCCTGCGTATTGGACGCGGGTGGAGATGCGTACACGTGCCAGGAGATCGCCGCTGGCCATTCTTTCGGCGATGAAAGTGCCGACGAGGTTGCCGCCCACGTGGCCGTGATAATCCGATCCATGGCTGAGGGCATGTTGAACTCTGAGCTCCTGGCTGGCGTGCGAGCTCCTGGTGGGTTTGTGGATGAAAGGTCTGGCACCATATCTCCTTATGCAGCAAGGCCACCACTTGCAAGGCAGGTGCTTGCCGAGGTGGCGAGGTCTTTCTCGAGCGCCAGGGTGAAGGGAGAGGATGCCGCGTCGCGCTCGGGCTCACTCTTTGTTGTCTCGGGAGACGGCCGGTTTCTCGCGAAGAGCGTCAGAGAGCAGGAGTACGAGGAGTTCGCTGACCGCCTCGTGGGCCCCTTGGCTCGCCATGCCGATCTTGCAAACGCGGCGTGTCAGCCTGCGTCCCTGGATGCTTGCTGGGCGGAGGCGGCGCTCGATCGCACATCCCTGAACATACCCGTGCTGGCGTTCGTGCACGATGACCGCTACTGGGTGGTGATGCCAGCGAGCGCTCAGTTGCGCGGGCTTGCAATTTCGCGTTCCACGGCAGACCTCCAGCCGTTGGGTGCAGCCACATACTACGACGTGAAGCCCCTCCCAGCGAAGAGCGCAGCACGCGAGGATTTGGTTCAGACGCTTGCAGCGTTGGGCATGAACCCGACAGCGCCGGCTGCGAGCACTGAGATGCGGGCGCAGTGGGCAGCACTGCAGGAAACGGTGGCAGGCGACCTGGAGTTTCTGTCCCAGGAGGGTTCCGCCGACGCTCCCTTGATCGACTACTCCTTTTTGTTCGAGGTCTACGCGCCCGGCCAGAGGGTCGACATGGAGGGCAGGCACTGCCTCGAGGCGCCGTCGTGCTTCGGCGAGGACCCGGCCGCTTGCCGCGTGCTCTGCGTGTCGATCATTGACTTCTTCACCAGGTTTACGCTGAATCGATGGCTGGAGAGCTGGTGGAAGCGGTTCAAATTCCATGACTATGCAGAAAAGGCAAAGGACTTGTTCGAATGCCCCCTGAGCCAGAGGTTTCCCTCACCGGGTGGCAAAGGCAGTGACATGGTGATCAAACCTCTGCATGATACATTTGTCGAAGTGGTGGCCAGCGTCAAGTGGACCGAGCCATACAGAGCGTCTGCTTGCCAACCCTACCAGGAAATGGCATGCAAAGATGTTGTCTGGAAGGTCTTCGAAGAAGAAGATTGTTTGCCACCTTTTTCAAAACCTCGAAACTGCTTTAACGCGACGTGTACATTCCGAGTCGAGGCGCATTATTTGGACCAGTGTGGTTCTTGGATGCACGAGTGGTGCCAGAAGAAGATCTATGACTACAATTCCGCGCTGGACGATGATGACGACGACTGACCTCCCAGCAAGGCTACTGACTGGTCAAAGCGAATTGCCAACACAAACTTCGAAATGACCGGACAACACAAAAACGACGCCGCTTGCACGCCGTTTCGACATGCCATTGCTTCGGAAACATGTTTCTGCGTGCGTGTGTATATATATATATATATATATATATATATATATATGTGTAGTCTGTCCTGCTTGTCGTGGTAGCGCCGATCTGGGTGGACCTCGTGTCGGATATCATGTCGCACAAGCTGGAGCGTGTTCATTGGTTTTGGTCGGGGTTAACGTAGTCTGCGTCATCAGGCCGTAATAGTGTACAAGCCCGAGCCCAGCCATCTTCGGGATGTTGGAGTCGGAGGCTTTGGAGGAAGGCGCTTGGAGTGGCCTGGAATCCTCGCGCTCCCCAGCTGTAGCCCTTCACAGCGCTGACGTGAGCCTGTTCTCGCTCGCAGTATACCCATCGGTCGTTGGAAGTAGGTATTTTTGGATTCCCAGATTCCAATCTACTTTCAGCGCCTTCCTACTTCAAGAGTCGAGTGGTTTTCCCTCTCCCTTCCTCTGCAGGAGGCGGGCGGAAACCCAATCTATTTCCAACGCCTTCATACTTCATGTTTCTAATTAACGGGGGGCAAACCGCCCCCCCCGTTAATTAACGGGGGGGGCGGTTTTCTTGGTGTTTTCCTCGTTTCCCCCCCTGCCTTTGTAGAGTCCCCTTCGCGCCAGGAGCAGCAGGGAGCTGGCAGAGAGAGCTGTGCGAGCCAGACCGACACTGCTAGACGCACGCCGCTCTCGCGCCTCTCTTCTGTGAGAGGGGGCCCGGCCGCCGAGCCCCGGCCTCTCCTCGGGAACGAATGGCACCGAGCCCTTTCTGCCTCCGGCCCTCCCGCCGTGCCCGACTCGGAGCTCAACGGGGGGGGGGGGGGGAAAGAGGGGGGTGATGACTAGGGGGGGGTGGATATCATGGCGGGGGCTATGATATTTCCCGAGATCTCGTGGCGCCTCTTCTTATTTCATTGCGTCCCTGGCCCCCCCGCTGGGCCGCGCACATGCCGCCGGTCATGATTTGCACCCCCCCCTCTTGGACACCCCCCTCTTGGCCGCTCCCGATGCGGGGGGGGGGGGGGCGTCCTTCGCTGATTCTGAGTGCTTCTCTTGGGGCACCTGCTCGCACCTGGCGCACTGGAAGTGCGAAGCGGACGCCGCAACCCGTCTGGACGGAAGGGAGTGGTGCCGCCTGGGCCTGGGGTGCTTGCAGATCTCGCGGGCTCGACCCAATGCGCAAGAGTAGGGTCTTCCCTGACTCCGGATCCGCCCTACTTTGGCTTTTTTTCCAACTTAAAATTGCGTCGGAAATCCACCTAAAAGGAGCCGAAAAAGTAGGGCGGAAATTGCTGCACCCAACATAGAATAGGGCGGAAATCCACAGAAACAGCAACAGAAAAGTAGGGCGGAAATTGGCATCAGCGGGGCTTGAAAAGCAAGGCGGAAATTCCAAGCCCCACTTACGAATTTCCCCAAAGTAGGGCGGATCCGGAGTCAGGGTTGACCGTGTCACGTGCGACATTTGCCATGTGACGGTCTGACTTGCTACCATGCCTTGCCCCGGGCACACACGCATGATAGACACGGCAAATCCCGTGCAAAGCGTTTCGATATCGTAAATCGCGCATGCGCCATTCAATACGCACGTGCGTGCGCATGTGTGTCGGAACGCGAACGAGCGCGACACACCGTCAAACCTTTCTGCGGCACGCCACTTTTTCCGGCGACACCCAGAACGTACCGGTCGGTTCCTTTAGTGCTGCTCCTCGCAGCAGAGAGTTTCCGCTTCAAGCCAGGGCTCTGCTGGGAAACTCTGCAATCGTCGCCTGCTCTGCTTCAGCACCTTTAGCACGCATGCCGCCCCTCGCGCCCCAGGCGCGCAGAGCGGCGCCGCAGGAGACGGCGGGCGAGGAGGTCCACAGAAAAGCTGCCGCGGACGAGGACGATGTGCCGCGGACGCTCAAATAGCTCGCCTGGCGCAGGGTCCGTTTCGATCCAGTCGGTCCGATTCGACATCGCTTCCCGGCGGGCCCTCGCCGATTCGGTTCCGGCCTTCCAGCGATCTGGTGCGGCCCGATGCTTGCACGGCGCCGTTGTGAATCATGGGGTAGCCGATCTGGTTCGGTTTCGATTCCGTGCCGACGCAGCCCGATCCGACGCACCTTTCGACTTGGTCCGATTTCCCGGCTTGATGCTGACTGGTCTTGCCCTGACCATCGGATTCCACCTGAGTGATTGGTTTCTTGAACATCGCGCCCTGCTTGAGCCCATCTCTCGACCTCACCTTGTGTCCGGTTTTCTCGCAGTTGCCAGGCTCATGCTTGTCCTGCGGCTCGGAACGGGCCCCTGGATGTCCAAGCTCATGAAAAGCTGCATGTTCAGGACAACGGGCGGAGATCGAGGCCTGCGCCGTTGTCGATGAAGGCGTCAGCTTCATCTCTCTCGTCCCTCCTTCTTCTGCGAGCGGCCACCCGTCTGTCCGCGGCAGTGGCATCTGGTGGAGTAAGCACCGCATGAGAACACCGACCTGCCGGCGGGTGCCCCACGACACTTTCCTGTCCTCCGATGGGCCCGCAGAGCCCTGGGGCAGCTTACTCAGGAGGGAAAAAACACACACAGACATAACTAATCTTCGATTCCCCAGAAAATATGGGAAAATATGGGAAATGGGGGGAAGACGAAGACCTAAAAACAAATGGGAAAATATGGGGAATCCTGTCACTCGTGCCTATTTGTTGGTGTGTCCCAGGGCCCCTCCTCCTCGACGACGCGCAGAAGCAGCGAATGACGTGCCCCGAGATCTCTTGCAGCAAGCCTTCGCACCTCGGCGGCACGCCAAAGGGAGCAGGCGAGGGGGGGCAGGCCTCCGGAGCCACTGGAGGGCTTCTCAGCGGCCCTCCGGCCTCCCGAGAGGAGACCTCGGTGGCCGGAGGCCGTCCGAGCCTTCGGAGAAGAGTCAGGAGAGGAAAAAACACACAGACACAACGAATCGTCGATTCCCAGGAAAATATGCGAAAATATGGGAAGTGATGGGGAAGACAGAAACCCAGAAAATATGGGAAAATATGGGGATTCCTGTTATTTGTGTGTATTTATTTGTGTGTCCCAGGGCCCCTTCAAGGAGGGCCGCCCCCTCCTCGTGGGCTTCGACGACGCGTCCGCCTCCGCGACCTCGCGGGTCGGGCCCCTCGGGGCTCGTTTCGAACCCTCCGATTCGGTTCGATGCGACTCCGATGGATTCCGATTCCGATTCGATTCGATTTCGGATTCCGATTTGGGCTCCGATTTCCGATTGGGCGCATACTAGCCTGCCGATTTCCGCCGATTCGACTTTTCCCGACTCGGCTGCCGATGTTTGCCGATCCGACTTATGTCGATCGCCGATCCGACTTATCGATTCGATTCTGGGCTCCCCTGGCCCCTGGGCCCCGGGCCGCGACCCCGCGGCCACGGGGCGTTTTCTTTCTCGGGTGCCAGCCGTGAGACCGCGCACCCGCGCGGCCGCGCAGCCGCGGGGTCGCGCCCCGGGGTCCAGAGGAGGAGGAGGAGGAGGAGAACGAATGGGATGGGATAACCAGGAGGAGGAGGAGGAGGAGGAAGAGGAGGAGGAGGAGGCGGAGGAGGCGGAGGAGGAGGAGGAAGAGGAGGAGGAGGAGGAGGAAGAGGAGGAGGCGGAGGAGGAGGAGGAAGCGGAGGAGGCCGCGAGGGCGCGGGCCCTCGGGAAGGCTCGCCGCTCGTGCCTGCCGCCTTCCCCCTCTCGGCCTGCCTCGGGCCGCGGCCGTCCGCCCGCGCCGCCGCGGCCGAGCAGTGCGCTGCCTCGTGGGCGTTTTTTCCCCACCCAGGACAGGGCTCGTTTCGATTCCTCCGATTCGATCCGATTCGATGCCGATGGTTTCCGATTCCGATTCGATTCGACTTTGGATTCCGATTTGGGCTCCGATTTCTCAACGGAGGCCTGCCAGCCTGCCGATTTCCGCCGATTCGACTTTTCCCGACTCGGCTGCCGGTTTCCGCCGATCCGATTCATTTCGATCGCCGATCCGACTTATCGATTCGATTCTGGGCTCCCCTGCCCAGGAGCCCCAAGCCAGCTTTCAGATCCCCACACAGCCCTTCAGGAAGCCCCCCGGAGGCACGGACGGCCCCAAGATGGTCCACAAGATGGTCCAAGAGGGCCTCTCGAGTCGCCGACGGATCGACCCAAGCGGCCCAGGGAGCCCCCAAGATGGTCCAGGAGGCCTCCAAGAGGCTCCACAGGAGAGCCCCACGAGTCAAAATTCATCGGTTTTATCTCCACCTGCATTTCAAGGTCGGGGTTCGTGGCAATATCAGGTTCCCCACCCATCCTGTGGTGTTGGGTCCTCGTTTTGGAGAGGCAGCGCCCTGCGTCCCACTGACTCCCTCCCCCTCCTCCCCCTCCTCCCTCCTTCATTGCGTTTCACCCGCCCAGTACAGCGTTTCGTGGCCCCACAGGGAGCTCCACGTGAGGCCCCGGGGGGGGGGGTACCGCATGCGTCTGCCACACCCAATACAGTGTTTCGTGGCCCCATAGGGAACTCCACGTAAGGCCCAGGGGGGGGTAACACAGTCTGCCACACCCTGTACGGCGCTTCGTGGTCCCATAGGGAGCTCCACCTAAGACCCCAGCGGGGGGGACCACATGCGTCCGCCACACCCAGTACGGCGCTTCGTGGCCCCATAGTGAGCTCCACCTCAGGCCCCAGTGGGGGTGGCCACATGCGTCTACCACACCCAGTACGGCGCTTCGTGGCCCCATAGGGAGCTCCACCCAAGGCCCCAGTGGGGGGTGGCCACATGCGTCCCATACACCCAATTTGGCAGTCTCACCCACCCAGTACAGCGCTTCGTGGCCCCATGGGGAGCTCCACCGAAGCTTCCAGTGGGACCGTCCGCATGCGTCCGGAAGCCCAAGTTGGCATTTTCACCCACCCAGTGCAGCGCTTCGTGGCCCCCACCGAAGCCCCCAGTGGGACCGTCCGCATGCGTCCCACACGCCCAACTTGGCATTTTCACCCACCCAGTACAGCGTTTCGTGGCTCCATTGGGAGCTCCACCGAC